GTGTGTGTGTGTGTGTGTGTGTGTGTGTGTGTGTGTGAGAGAGAGAGAGAGAGAGAGAGAGAGAGAGAGAGAGAGAGAGAGAGAGAGAAGCAGAGTGTTAGTGGGATTCAATGTGTGATATCCCTTCCGACTGGACCCTCAGGAGCGAAGTTAGACTGTATTGACGAGGAGGGCAACGAGCAGGATGAGGCGACAAAGATCACGACTACAACTAACGAAACAATGAGCGAAATCATAAGAAGAAAGATCACGTAGAAGCGGTGAAGTTGACGGAGAAGAGAAAGATTAGGAGGAGGAGGAGAAGGCACACACACACACAGGATGGAGAAGAGAAAGGGAAGGAGTGGACATGGAGGAGTATGAGGTTAGAGAACGGATAGGGATGACAAAGAGGAGGTGAAGGTGCATGGTGTGAAAGGAGACAAGCCGAACAACAATGGGTAAACAAGGATGAGGAAGTGGCACAGACGTACGTAAAATGCACACACACACACATTGACACACACACACACACACACACACACACACACACACACACACACACACACACACACACACATTTCTGAACGGAGATGCACTCTTCAAGCAAGCACAGCCCCTCGACCACGCCCGTGGGTTTCTTCAATGTGGTTACCTCCTAACTTTTACGCTGCCGAGGGCGGCATTTTTTGACTGCAGTAGAGTTTTTGTGTAACTTTGTATTACTTTGTAATGCTATGGTTTGTAAATTGTAACCATTCATTATTACCGTATGACTCATGGAGTTAAGGATCTGGACTTGGGCGCTTGGAAATGAAGCTTGAAATGCTGGCTCCCCTTGGGGAGGGCCCTGCTCTCAATAGCCATGCGATAAGGACACTTTAGGCCATATCCGTCTCCAACCTGGACGACCTTTAAAAGAAAACGAAGAACGGAAACAGAAAGAAACAAACAACCTCCCTCCTTCCGCTGAACGGAACGGCCCCTTCGTCGTGGCTGTATTTCGATGGGAATAAGTTTTTTGAAATAAACGTTGTATGCGTTGATATGATGATTCGACATTATGTTTTCTAGAAGAAGGCTGCTCCTTCCTCAGTCCATGACCCTCGTCGTAGTAACAACGCCTTTCGGCCGTATCTTTGTGCTCGGCTGCTCACAGGGTCATGGACTGAGGAAGGAGCTTGCTGAGATGGTTGCGGCACTGAAACCAGGCTTCATTCGTTTTCCGGGTAAGAACATCGTATACGCCCGTGTTCTTTAGCCTCATTTATGGATTCCATTGGAATTTGGATCCAATCCAATTAACTTGCCATTTTCAAAAACTAATCTAAAAGCACCATCTGGCATCAGCAGATGGTCAATTTTTTTATTTGTTTGGTTTTAGAAAAAAAAGGGAAAGAGTCCTTCGGGACATTCATTAAAATTGGAACGATACAGAGAAAGAGAAGATTAGCATGGCCCCTGTGCGCAAGGATGACACGCATAAATCGAGAAATGGTCCAATTTTTTTTATTTTTTTTTTAAAAGCAAACAAAAGAAAGGGAAAGGACACAGCAGGATGGAGGGCTAAGGGATTATAAGGATGTTGAGGTCTAGGGTTTCAACTTTCAAGTTTCAACAAGAGGGGCAAAGGGTAAAATGCAGAAGGGCAAGGGTAATCGTCATGCAGTTTACATTCCCCTTGGGTGTCAGTAGCATAGTTTTCTTTCCTTTGTTTCTGTTTACACTTTAATTTAAATTTTAAATTAAATTTAATTAATTAGTAATTATCCACTTGCTGAGTTTTTTGAAGTTGCGTACTTTGGGACTTTGCTGAATTTTTTGAAGTTGCGGACTTTCGAAGCTGCATTCGTGACTAGATGCAGTCATAATGACCCCGCTGTTGTATCTTGGACAAGAAGGTAGTACAGAACCTTTGTTTTCCCTGATAAACCTCATTCCATCTGTGACATTCTCTGCCGGTTTTTATTAATTTATTTATTTTTAACTCTCTCTCTGCCGATTTCATTCCGAGTGCTGTCTGTCTTGTTCACTTTTTCTCAGTTCCGAGAGGCTTCTGACAAAACTTGATTGGCTTGGCTTGGCTTGGCTTGGCTTGGCTTGGCTTGGGTTGGATTGGGTTGGGATGGGATTGGGTTTAGGGTTGGCTTGGCTTGGCTTGGCTTGGCTTGTGGCTTGGCTTGGATTGGGTTGGATATGATTGGATTGGATTGGATCGGATTGGATTGGATTGGATTGGATTGGATGTAATTGGGTTTGATTGTTGGATTTAATTGGATTTGATTTGGTGTTGGGACCCTCAGGTGGGTGCTATGTAGAAGGGAATCGACTTGCGAACGCTTTTCGGTGGAAGTCCTCCGTGGGACCATGGGAGGAGCGCCCAGGGCATTATAATGGGGTCTGGGGCTACTGGAGTGATGATGGGTTGGGACTCTATGAATACCTACAGGTAAATTTTGTGGGGTTAAAAAAAAAAATAAGAAAAAAATAAATAAAAAAATAAGAAGGGAAAATTTGCGAAACGCCCCTAAAATTTCCGTTTATTTGCGATTTGCCCTCGGACGGCCGATTTTTTCTGAATTGCCCCTCTGACAACGACTCAAGTTTCCAGAAAACCCCCGGCGTCACTTGGGCCTCGAATATGTTCAATATGCCCCTACCGGTACCGCTGCCAACTTTTCAATATGCCCCTACCTGTTGGCCGTTGAGGACCTGCACTAGAATTTGCTATATGCCCCTACCGGTACCATGCATCTTTCCAGTATGCCCCCACGACCGTTGTTGGCAGTCGCGGCCATTTCCCTGGCCCTGGGATGGGAGCTACCGGGGTATATCAGAAATTTGCCCACGTTGGCATCTTTCTGCTGCGCCCTCCATCGGCCTCCATCGTTTTGCATGGGCCTGGGCCTGTCTGTGGCTGGGCATTTTGGGCCTGTGCGCACCCCCACAC